TATCTATCTATCTATCTATCTATCTATCTATCTATCTATCTATCTATCATGAACCCACATATCAGTATCCTCAGATGAAGTCTCCATGTACAAAATGGGAAGAACAATGTACAAAATCTCCAAAAATTTGGGTTCAATATCCTCTGGAAGGCCATCTAACCTAGTTCCTGGAGGGAGGCTTTTTCTAAATCTGGGGGCCATAATAATAATTTAAAAACACTTCTTGGATTCAACCTTCCTCCTGTCACAAAACTAAGGGAATTTGGTAGTAGGCTAATAACCTTGCCCAAATCCCTCCCCCCCAGGATGGATCCAAGTTATAGTAAATTTTCCAGATGATTTAGAAATCAAAATCAGTTTGATTCAACTGATTTTTGTAACCAACATGCAAACAGTCCAGTGCTGCTAACAGGATATCATGAGTTTGAAAGTGTCTACAAAGAGGGGAAAAGATTTCTCAGAGATCTTATGTCAAAGAATCAGGATCATGCATTAATTTACAGTTCAAAACATTTATTGTTCAAACCTGAAAACAAGAATCTGATCAACTAAAGTTCAACTCTGAGTCGGGATGAAATAAGGGTCAACAGAATTCAAGGGGAGTTGGACTTAGACTATTTGTGGGAACGTAACAACTCTGGGCTGGTGACTCATTTAACTCTACCACTCCCAGCTCTGCCTGCTGTATCCTTATAATTTAGCCCATTTAAAAACAAAACAAAAACAAAAACCTAAGTGCTCCACCTCTCCTTTTCACATAAAAAGGAATTCTACTCCATTATCCTGTTATGGATTTCTCCATGGTTGAAACCCTCAAATCTACCCCCAATTGAAAGGATCCCTCCATATCTCTAACCAGAGTAAATGGGGCTGCGCTGAAGGATATCTTAAATGACATACAATCAATCACACAGCAAGGTGTTGGATTCGGTGGTGGGATTCAAATTTTTTTACTACTGGTTCTGTGGGTGTGGTTTGGTGGGCATGACTTGGTGAGCATAGCAGGGGTAAGGATACTGCAAAATCCCCATTCCCTCCCCACCCCACTAACCTGCTTTCCAGCTCCGTTCTCCTGTGCAGGGCAACCAAAGAAGACCCAGCCAATCAGTTAGGACTCGGGAGGCAGAGAAGAGATGGGGGCGGGGCCAGTCAGAGGTGACATTTGCTGGTTTTCTGAACTACTCAAAAATTTCCACTACCGGTTCTCCAGAACTGGTCAGAGCCTGCTGAATACCCACCTCTTCCAGAGGGTGACTCAAGGATTGGTTCCATGCCCGGATGCCCCCTCAGGCATCTGGAGAGCCTTCACTGTGTCCGCCTAGCGCCACAATCTGCTTCTCCAGCCTCATTGCTGTCTGTCATGGCCAATGGTTTCAGGTCACATCAGGGAATAGTTTTAGTAGCAGATGTAAAGATTCTTCCCTTCGAGTGATATCATGCAAAGTCAGTCAGCAAATCCTGCACTAAAAATAGAAGCCAGTTTCAAAGTTGGTAAGATTCCCTTTGTCGTCCCTTCACACTCTGAGGAGCCACGCTGTCTACCAGTCCTGGAGAAGCTTACAGGTAAGCCAAGCCGAGCCAAGTGAACAGGGAATTTGCTTTGCCAAAGGGATGGACTCCTTTAAAATTCTAGGCTAGGAAACCTGGTTAGAGGGATCTCAGCCATCTCTCACGGCAAGGAGGCAGCGGGGAACTTTTTAAAACAATTTTAATGCAAGCGCCAGAGGGATAGTCATTTGCAGGGGATAAAATGAGGTCATCTATCATTCCAAAATATGAAGCCGTTTCATCCCATCAGCTGCACTTTTTCATAGTTAAGAGTCCACCGATTTCTAAGCGGACCTTAAACCTGTTGGGGTGTGTGTGTCATCTCTAGCTATCATTTTTCTGTATCTTACCCCTCCTTCCTTGTTTTCTTTCTTTAAGCACATTAGTTCTTTAACCCAAAAGTGCTTTTTTCAGGAGGCAACTGGATTTTCTTGGTTTTTTTTTTTCTTTTGAAGATGTTCCGCTTCTCATCCAAGAAGCTTCTTCAGCTCTGACTTGGATGGTGGGGAAGGGAAGGATTTATATTCCTTGCAGACAGCTGGTCATTTGCATCCTTTTAGAGAGTCCTTGGGGGGTTTATCTGTGTCCTCAGGGTCACCTGAGTAGTTAGTTCTTTAGCTGACTTCTTCTGTAAAAGAGTTGCGTGCATTGGCCCCTCTGGCAGTCGTGGGGCTGTCAGCCTAGCGATCCCAACCAAGCCGATTTTCATATTAGCTCCTTGCGCCGAGAGTAAAAATACAAATGCAACCTAATCCCTCCAGAGGAAATAAATATGTCCTGAAAATAAAAATAGTGGGGGGTAGAAACACGCTGCAGATCAAAAGGATTTGGTTGTTGTGTAGGAGAGAAGATAGGTCTGCTCTGGGTTGGTTCAAAAATAGTTTTATCTTTCCAGGACAGTAATCTTCATAACACCTGAGACCAGAGAAACATTTTTTTAAGAAAAAGAAATGTTGACATTTATAATGTTCCCCAATAAATCAGGCAAGGCTCAAGCTAGGCAGAGCTTTTAGTTATCCCTTTTTTCAACTCCTCCTCCTCCTCCTCCTCCCCTTTCTAATTTCTGCACGGATGTTCTGATTTTCACAGATTTATACAAGATTTATACCCCATTCCCTGAAATAATCCGTACTGAGTTTTCCCACGCATTGCATCATTTTGATCAAAGGATCTTCTTTTTCTTCTTTTTTTTCCCCCAATCCAAGCTCAAGCCAAATTCTTTTTCCAGTTCCACAGAAAGATCAGGTTGGAGGAAAGCCGCAACGTTTATTCAGAGAGTCCCATTCGGAATCTGCAAAATATCCATTTACAAATCTCTCCAGCCTTCCGAAAAGATGGCAGCTTGGTCCCACATTTTGCTTTTAAACATGTGGGCTCCAGAGCTGACTTGATAGGCAGAGGCTGGAGTTTTAAAAAGCAAAGCAAACATTTGGGACATTCCCGTCTCTCTAATTAAAGACTGAATACACTCACACGCAGATTTTTGGAACTGACAGTGTGTTACCACCTGCCCCTTCCGAGATACGGACATCCTGATTGCCAAATTATTTAGCACGCCTCTCCTTTATTTTATTACACGTGGTCCCAGGTTCCAAAGTTAAAAATATGGTGGAGAAAACAAACTTGACAGAATTAATAATGAAAGAAACTGGACAATGTTTTTCAAGGGAGCAGCTCATCCTCCAATAGTACCTCAACAGGAAGAGAATTAAAATGTGTGATAAATTTGATTATGAACGACAAATGCTTTGGAGTGCACAAAGGGCAGTTTAACAATCCAGGGCTAAACCCACAACAGGACACAATACTGTACTTGCACTAGCTGGAAATTGACACACTGGAAATTTCTTTTAGGTAAAAATGCCTTCTGGCTTGAGAAAACCTCTGCAGCTTTCCTCTTCTGCTCTTTCTCTCTCTTTATCTTGGATTGATGAAGAAGCAGTGAGGAGCCTTTGAAGCAGGTTCTTTCCAAAATTATTTAATCCCAAGGAATATCTTCCAAAGTCAGGGAGATATTCACATTTTTTAGCAAGGGGCTTTCTGCCCTAATGACTGGCTCGGTGGGTGTGGCCACTGGACATTGCTGCTTTGCCCTAATTGCCCAAAAAAAGATAATATACCAAAAAGTTGTTTATTATTTTGGGCATTTAATACTTAAATAAAAGACTGGGTGAAACCAGGCTTAATAGCAGTGACTGTGAGAGGGATCTTAGTGGGGTTTCTGGTGAGTTATGTGATTCTTATTATGTGGGTATTTGCCCTCGACAAGCACTTTATCTAGCTTGACACTTTTACGAAGTGTGAAGTGCTCATGGATGAATGCCCAGAAAAGAAAAAATCCAAAAAAGGGTCCATTTATTATTCTAGGCTGCTTGTCTTTTTGAGGTTATTGGGGGCTCTCTGAGCTCCACAGAGTCTTAGCTAAGGGCTCCCCTGAGCCCCTGCGAGCCCCCAGAAGCCCACCCCTGCCCAAAGCCCTAATTCAATGTTTCTCAACCTTGGCAGCTTTGAGATGGGTGAATTTCAGCTTTCAGAATCACTCAGCCAGTATGGATGGCTGGGGAAATTCTGGGAGTCCACTCACCTTAATGTTGCCCAGGTTGAGGAACACTGTCCTAAATCATTAGTCTGGCCTTCGTAATGGTCACTATTCTTCAATATGGAGAAGCCAGAATCTTCTCCTTGGCCCCGGAAAAAGCTAATCTGGGCATAGACAATTATCTGAGATGAAAATGGGTGACAGAGCAGATATTCAGATGATGCCCTGGGATGAAAAGGGATCATCTGTAGTGCTTTCACCATTCCCTACAAGTCTGATCAACCATTAAAAGTTCAAGAGTTTTGTCCAAAACAAAGAAAACTCTACCGATTGCACTGTCCTCCTCTTCCTGCACTCAAAGGAAACTGGAGAATGGGTAGATGATCAGAGCTACATTTGCTATGAGATACATGGCTTGCTCATGTTTCCCTCCCATGTTAAAGGCATGATGGAAGTGGACAGCTCTTTTCCATCACCTCCCCCCCCCCCCCAATTTATTTCCTTCAATCCATCCACAGGAAAGGATCAGGGTAGTCACATCCAGATGTTCAAAAGCCCCATCCCTTTTTCCCATGCCAGTGGTGGAGCTTTGATCATAGTTGTCATGGACACCATTTGGATCTCCCCAGATGCCTTGACTCCCATGGGAAAGAAGTTGTGTCGGTGCTACTTATTCTTTCATTCCTGGTACAAAGACTAATTCAGTGCTGTGGTTCGCTGGCAGCCTGTGCAGATGGCAGCAGAAACGGACAGTGGGGAAGAACAGGGACCAATCCAGGAGTCTGGGGAGGACTCAGACGAGGGTCCTGCATCCGATACAGAGATGGGGCCAGGACCATCTGGGAGTTATGTGCTGACTCCGGAGCCTCCAGAATCTGACAGCAGCAAGGCAGAGGAACAGAGGGAGCCTGTTCCCAGTGTGCACTTGCACAGAGCTGCCAGAAGGCAAGAGCAGCTAAGACAAAAGGGGTGATTCGGGAGTAAGGCTTGGAGCTGATTGCCCCTCCCCTAAGGTATAAAGGAAGTGTAAAGGTAGGAAAACCTTTGCAGGAAGCAAAGTCATTTGCTCTGATCAGTTTGGACTCTGAAAGCTGCGTGGTGAATTTGTGCTCAATTTGTTTTTGACTAATTGGGACTTTAGTTGTTGGCAGCAAGTCAGATAAGGTGCGTTCTTATCAGACGTCTTTCGAACAATTTCGGCAAGCGTCCCTGGGACTAATTATAACTGGTTAAGACTCATTCCAGGCTGTGAATGGTGATAATTCACAGCCATTGAACTAAAATAAAAGAGTTTTGGATTTTATATGTGTTTGTTGGTGTCTCAGGAAGCCTTGGTCAGAACCTTTAGGGAGGAGAAGACCACTGAAGGAAGCAGCTCATCCTCCAATAGTACCTCAAATAATAACTGAAGCATTTGTTGCAATTAAAGTAATGATAGGTTGTAATTGCTTATTATGAGGTGGGCATAAAACATCCACGCTGTGTATAGCTGTTGTGGAGCTGCTGCATCATTTCCAGCTTCCAGCTTCCTTGTCTCTTTCCCATAGAGGTCATCAGCAGATCTGCACATAATGGCTTTAAGCAATATTTAAAAGGGGGAGGCAGTCCTCTCATTTCTTCTTAAAAACGCAGTAAACAAGGAAGGAAATAATCATGAAAATCCAAACAGATTTCACTGCAAGATTGGGATGGAAATCAATCAATCAGAATAGAGCCAGAAGGGACTGTGGAGGCCTTCTAATCCAACCACCTGCTCAACAGGACCCTATACAATTTCAGGCAAGTGGTTTCCAATCTCTTCTTGAAAAACCCCCAAATGGGCATTTCTGCAAAATAATAAGATAGCAAACAAAAGTAGCCTGAGGTTGTAACTCCCAAAAGTTAGGAGGACTCATCCAAAGCTTCATGTTTGAGGATGTGTTGATTCTTTATAAAATATTTGGTTTCTTTGTCATGAGTTGTCATTCTCTGCTTCATATACTGGCTCAGCTGCTGGGCTAGAAATGAAGAAATGATGAGTTTAGCCCTCTCTTAAGAGCATAGGAGATGCCAGCTGCGTGCCTTTGGGCTAATCACCAGGAAACAGTGAATTCTAGTCCCGTCTTAGGTATGAAAGCCAGATGGGTGCCTTTGGGCCAATCACCAGGAGTTGGTGAGTTCTAATCCTGTCTTAGGTATGAAAGCCGTCTGGGTGCCTTTGGGATGATCACCAGGAGTTGGGGAGTTCTAGTCCCGTCTTAGGTATGAAAGCTGGCTGGGTGCCTTTGGGCTAATCATCAGGAGTTGGTGAGATCTAGTCCCATCTTAGGTATGAAAGCCGGCTGGGTGCATTTGGGATAATCACCAGGAGTTGATGAGTTCTAGTCCCATCTTAGGTATGAAAGC